GGTGTGGCGATTGCTAGGCGAAGCACGGAAAGACACATCAGATGGGAAGCTTGCGCCCACTTGGGGTGGCCCATTCCGAGTTACAGAAGACTTGGAAAATGGAGCGTATAGGCTGGAAGAACTCAGCGAGAAACCTATATCGCGAACTTGGAATGCTACGCATCTCAAGTTTTATTTCAGCTGAACTTTGTACGAATGAGCTGTGCACTCTTTTCCCGCCTCCGTCTTTTCTCCCAAACAACAGAAAAATGGGTTTTGGCTGAGAGGGTTTTTAACGAGGCACATTTACGAAATCAATAAAATGACTCATTCCATTCAATTCACATCTCTTTTCACATTATTTTATATTTTACGCTAAATAGAGGTCGAGTTCGAACCAACTTCTTTTGCCCCCACTTAAGGTCGAGTTCGAACCTTCACAACGTGTTACTTAACAAAAATACAAGGTCGAATTCGAACCTTCGTACAATTCACTCTACTTTAATCTGAGGTCGAATTCGAACCTCGGTATGACTAAGGTCGAGTTCGAACCCTCACAAGAGTCACTCAACGAAAATCGAGGTCGAGTTCGAACCTTGGCATGATCAATACAAGGTCGAATTCGAACCTTCACAAAATGTTACTTAACGAAAATCTAAGGTGGAGTTCGAACCCCGGCATGATCAATTCAAGCTCGAGTTCGAACCTTTACAAAAAATTACTCAACGAAAAATTGAGGTCGAGTTCGAACCTCATCATGCTCAACTCAAGGTAAAGTATCACCAAGTATAAATGTATACAACAAACATCGAACGCATGTCTCAAAGCGCGCAAACAGCTAAAATCCAGCCTAAATGCAAAGGCAAAGGAAAGCGCAAACACAAGTAGACAAAGAAAAAAATACATATATAAGCAATGTTTCCAGAGTTCTACACTTGAATTCGAAACACAAAAATAAAGCAGAAAAATTTTAGCTGAGCTATTACAAAATTGGCCTATGTAGAGGCATTCACGCTGGAGCTGTCTTCGACATCGTCTTCCTTGACAAGCTTCCCGAAGCGGATGACTTTCTCCACGTGCATGGCGGAAAGGTCAAACCCTGGCGCGAGGAGCTTGGCCTGGCGGGTAGCCTTGAGGAAACCCCTCTTATGCTCAAGCTTCTTCTCCAGCGCCGCCCTCTCCGCCTCCAGCTTCGAAAGGTCCACTCTCAGGGCGGCAATCTCTTCTTCTTTGCCACTGAGAATGACCTCGTCACGGAGACGCTCCTCAGCCACCACCACAAGCTCACCCCTCAGAAAGGTCACTTCATCCTCCAAAGAGCGATCTTGGCCCCGGGAAGACGTCACCTCATCTTCCAAGCTCCGCACCCAACCTCGGGATGACACGACGAGCCCCTGCAGCTCGCCCACCTGGGAAGCATAATTCTCGTTGGAGTGCAGGGCAATCTCCAACGATTTCTGAACCCTGGCGAGATCTCCCTTCGCTGCTTGAAGCTCGGCACCCTGCATCTTCGCCTCGCCAAGGGCGGAACTCAGCACCTTGTTCTCCTCCTTCAGGACCTTGTTCTCGTCCTTCAGAGGCTGAACTCGGTTCCTCAGCCTAACCAGATCCTCCTGCTGTTTGGACCACTTATGCTTCCAGTGGTCCACAATCGCCATAGTTCTCTGCAGAAAAACCTAGGCAGCGTCGAAGCTTTCCATGGGCCCAGCCCCGTCGATCAGTCCCTGGTCATCCGAGGTCAACGAACCTCGAGGGAAGAACTTCTCGGTGGTCACCCCAGCGCTCCACAGCGAGTTCACGTCGGCCGAAGCACTCACATGGTCCAGTCGCACCTGGGTGAGGCCCTACCCGAAGCGGTGAGCTATGTACTGGCTCCGGGAAGCCCCCTGCGACGATCCTGACGGCGCCGCCGAGGTGGCAGGCGTGGCTGTAGGGACCTCGAGACTCGGCCCCTTACCGCGCGCCTCAATAGAAGTGGAAATGGGCTTCTCCTGCTCGACGACAGGGGGGTCCACGTTTGACATCTTCGACCTCAGAGGCACTTGGACCTCAGCGGCATCCCCTGCCTGCAAACACCAATGCCATGTCAAAAAAAGAAAGAAAAAATAACAACATACAAGATAGAGGAAAAAACGAAGAGCGGGGCACCCACCATGGTGGCCTGGGTGACCTGCTCAGCAACCGGGGCCTCCGCCTCGACAGCTATCCCTGCCTGCAAAGAGCAACAACGCCTCAATAAACAAAAGCAAAACCAACATAGGAGAAAAATCCAAGGAGACAAGACACTTACCTCGGCAGAAGGAGCAACTTGCTCAGTAGTCACCGCAACGGCCATTTGGGGAGCCTTCCCAGGCGGAGAGCTCCCAGTGAAATCGACTGCATCAGCATCTGCAGCCTTGGAGGTCACCTCCTCCACTCCACGAGAGGCAGAGGTCCCCCCGACCTCTTTCTCGACCCTCTTTCTTTTTCGATTGACCTTTAGGGGGGACACCTCCTCCTCTGGAGGCTCGGGAACCTCGAGCTCGGTAATATTGTAGCGGTGCTTCAGCTCGCGCCACTTACTCTTGCCCATTATGCCTACAAGCACAGAAAATGAAACATATCAGAAAAAAGAGTTTTCACAAACCCTAACAATCTAAAGAAGACGAGATACACACTCTTCAGGCCCCTCTCCTTGTACGCTGAATTCGCAAGCGACAAGACGAGCTTGTAATCCAGCGGGCGAGGAAGCGCAACAAGATTCTCAATGGCGGCCGCCTCCGAAGCCGTCAATTTCAATTGGCCCACCCCGTGAAACCTAGACGGTTTGGGGCACCAATAAAAAGGGAACTTCGGCAACCCGCCGAAATAGAACGCCCCGTCCTCCAAGGGATCGACATCCACAAGGGCGACCCGGAAGAATTCTTGGTTATAATTTTTGTATGACTGGGAGTAGAGAGTAAATAAACCCCATCCCTACTCCCACTCAAGGACAGCACGCCATACGGCGGAACACCTATTTTTAATTGATAGAAATGAAGAAAGACAGGAAGAGACACCTTTATTCCTAAGACCGAACACAGGACTTGAAAAGCCCTCAAGAAACCCCAACTGTTGGGGTGCAACTGGCAAGGAGCCGAGTTGACAAAGTTCAAAAAGTCACACTCAAATTGTGTGAAGGGAAGGCAAACGCCCAAATCCCTAAAGAAACATTGGTAAACATAGAAATGGGGAGGGTTAGTAGACTTTCCCATATACACGCCCTCACCGGCCTGACAAGGTTCAAGCCGGATCATCCGGGAAACGGAAGGGTCACAAACCCTGTGCGACTTCAAGACCGCATTGACTTCAAGAAAGGACCGGAAAACGCTTTGAGCCTCCGCCATCTCGCGCCGAACCCAATCGTACCGAACCCAGTCGTACCCAGGAATGCCTGGAACGAGGTCCGTTGGCGGCGCCACCTCCTTCTTTTTCCCGACAGCGGCCATTCCAGTAGCCGCCGCCTTGCCCCGCGCCTTGCCCTTACCTTTGGCAGGCGCGGAGGAACCAACGCCACTCCCTCCCGCCATGGAAAAAACAAGAAAGACTCGAAGAAGATTGGGGAAGAAAGAAAAAGCAAACTGTAGAAAGGAAGTACCTGGTACTCTTCCTCAGAAAACAACCCTAACAATGACTGGGTTACCGGAAACGACGGCGGAAATGGAAAAACGGGGACGAAGGATGAGCAGAAAAACGAGAGAAACAGCGTGCGCAAGAAGTTGAAAGAGCGAAAAATGAGTAAAGTGAAAAGGGAAGAGGCGCGTGGGAGAGAAAAGGGTTTCTCCCAAAATTCAAAACGGTCACGCCACGTGTCAGCCAAGGGACGCATCTGATGACACATTAATTGAGAACAATTATGACAAAGACAAACCATCATTACATAACCGTCACTCCCATTAACGCGCCACTTGCACGTTTTCGGAAAATGACCAGTTATGACACATGACATCTCAACAAGCACGCGTACACGAGGGGTCACAGGCACTTGACGAGCTCAGTTTTAACTCCTCGACCCACGGTCTTCGGAGCTCGGGGGGCTAGTGTACTATCCGTACTGCAAGGCCGAGCTCCCAGCTCGGCATCGCAGCGCATGACGACCTCGGATATGCGCTACGTGACGTCAGCTCGTCACTTAACCAGATCATAACTTATCTGAGGAGATCTCGGTCCAGACGAGATCCGCTATCTAATTAGATCACAACTGATCTCAGACCCAAGGCCCAACGCAACCCTAATCCACACTAAGGTACGTGCATTACTTATACGAGACATACACTCATACAAACCATAACTTTATCATCGGAGTCTCTTTTACAGGTACCACCCCCATCTTGGAACATCAAGCGTACCAGCGAAGGAGGCTCACCAATCTTACTCGGCGGATCACCTCTACAGCAGATCTCCGGTAAGAACATGTATCTATTGTTATCTTTACTTAAATTTACTTAAATATAATCAAAATTTTATATTATTAGAAAAATAGGAGAAACATAAGTTTATAATGACATAACATAAACGACTCTATTAGTAAGAAACTTTTTAAATAATAACAAAAAATAAATTCATAAAAGTTTAAGTTCAAAATAAATAACATCATATCAAAATTTATCTTTTTAATCTCTATAATTTTAAAAATATTCTTTTAAATACTAATATCATAACTAATAATAATAAATTAAGAGAAACTAAAATAATAATTTTGATAGCTTGAAAACTAAATACAAATTTTAAATTTGAGATATCAAAACAATGTTTTATTTTTGAAATTATAAAGACTAAAAGTATAGATTTTAAATTTGATGAATTAAAATTATATTCTAAAATATTTAAGTCAATTAAAAAATATATTTAAACTAACTCAAAAAATAATTTTAACCCGAAGAAAAAAAAAAAAGATTTTGCTCATAATTAATAGAAATAAAAAAAAATAAAAAATAAATAAAACTCTGCCCTTTCACCGTAGTAGTTTTTGGAGTAAAATAATGGGTGATTCGCGGTTCACATTATTTTCCAGAAGCCAAGCAAAGTAGAAAAATGTTGAAAAACCCTAAACCCCGGCGGAGGTAACAGAAGCAGAAGCAGAAGCAGAAGAGCAATGGGGAAGATCCCTCCTTCATTCCGCTCGGCAATTGCGAACCCCAACCTCCGAAATTCATCTTCTCTCTTCCGCCCCCAAACCCCTTCTCCCTCCAAACACCCCCACTCCCCAAACAAACACCGTCCCCAGAAACCCCCCAAACAAAACCAACCCCCTCCCCCTCTATTCAAATCCCCAAACCTCCAAGACGCCAAAGCCCTCTTCGATTCCATCGCCAACTCCTCCTCCGACCCCCGCTTCCCCAACTCCCTCCTCCACTCCTACGCCGCCGTCGCCGCCTCCCCCTCCGACTCCCTCGCCTTCCTCCGCCACATCACCCAAACCCTCCCCTCCTTCTCCCCCGACCGCTCCACCTTCCACATCCTCCTCTCCCACCAATCCCACTCCCAATCCCTCTCCCCAATCCACCAAACCCTAAACCTCATGCTCTCCTCCGGCCTCGCCCCCGACGCCGCCACCGCCGACATCGCCGTCCGCGCCCTCTGCTCCGCCTCCCGCCTCGACCACGCCGTCCAATTGCTCAAGGAATTCGCCTCCAAGCACTGCCGCCCTGACACCTTCACCTTCAACCACCTCCTCAAGCACCTCTGCAAGTCCCGCCCCCTCTCCTCCGTCTACGCCTTCATCGACGAGATGCGCCGCGACTTCACCCTCAAGCCCGACCTCGTCACCTACACCATCCTCATCGACAACGTCTGCAACTCCAAGAACCTCCGAGAGGCCACGCGCCTCGTCGCCGTCCTCCACCGCGAGGGCTTCAAGCCCGATTGCTTCCTCTACAACACCATCATGAAAGGCTACTGCGCCCTCAGCAGGGGGAGCGAGGCCATCGAGGTCTACAACAAGATGAAGGAGCAAGGCGTGGAACCCGACCTCGTCACCTACAACACCTTGATCTTCGGCCTGTCCAAGTCCGGCAGGGTTTCCGAGGCCAAGAAGCTTCTGCGCGTCATGGCGGAGAAGGGCTTCTTCCCCGATGAGGTCACCTACACTTCGCTCATGAATGGCATGTGCAGGAAGGGCGATGCGGCGGCGGCGCTCGCGCTGCTGGCGGAGATGGAGGCGAAGGGGTGTAGTCCCAATGCGTGCACTTACAACACGCTGCTGCACGGCTTGTGCAAGGCGAGGCTGTTGGAGAAGGCCGTGGAGTTCTATGGGGTCATCAAGGAGGGTGGGTTGAAGCTCGACACGGCTGCGTATGCCACGTTTGTTAGGGCGCTCTGTAGGGATGGGAGAGTTGCTGAGGCCTATGAGGTGTTCGATTATGCGGTTGAGAGCAAGAGCTTGACGGATGTGGCTGCTTACTCGACGTTGGAGAGCACGCTTAAGTGGCTCAGGAAAGCCAAAGAACAAGGCCTTGCTGTTTGATTGGTATGCGTATGTGTTGGGGTTTCTATTTCAGTTAAGGGTTCTGTCAAATTTGTTGTGCGCAGGTTTGTTGCATAGTTATCAGCTTAGATCATGGGATTTAGCGGTGGTATCAGTTGCCGGATTGCAAAAAATGGCAGAAAGCTAATAACGTACTATATCATATAGCGAATACTGTCTCGGTAAATAGTGAAAGTTGTATAGCTGTTAAAATATATGATATAAATCAATTATATATGTATAGAAACGTAAGTTGTATGCGAATAAAAATAAAGGGCATAGAAATTGACTCTGAATTTGTAATTGACAAACAATTAAATCTGGATAAAGGTATTTACAGTCTTCATGAAGATTTACTCGGTGTTTGGTAATAGGTACATCATGCACGTCATGTTCTGAGATTTTGCCATGATTTTGATGTTGGTTTTACTTTGTAATAATTGATGAAGACTCGGTGTACCCTAAGTTGTGATTGGATTATGTTAGTTATGTTACAGTTTTCTGTTTGTGTTTAACTTTGGTTGTCTACTTGTCTGTGAACTCTTATGTTGTCCTGTTTAAGTTGGTTGGTGTAAGATACAATTCTTTTGTACCTTGTTGGATACCCATGTAGTTTCTTTTCTAGGGATAGGAGGAATGGAGGGTGGTATTATATACCTTTCCCCTTTTTATTTTCCTTTGCTACCTTTGATATATTTTCTTCTTCCGAATAAAAGAATGCTTGTGGGCTGCTGAAAATGCTGTTGAAGTTTCATTATCACTTCATTTGGAATACCTTAATATTACTGGATTATTTGGCTGAAGCAGAGTTTCCCTTATCTGTATCAATCATTCTAAAGGTCCGGTAGATGCTAAGATGATCAACCCCATTGTTTAGGTCTTTCGTAGTTGCTTAAGCTTATAGATGAAATGGAGAGCATAGTTGACCAAATACCAGTTTGTATTTTTAGGATTTTTCCTTAAGAAGGTTGAATGGAATGAAGTTTTTTTATAACTGCTCCCATTCCAAGTCAAATTCTTGCTTGTCTTTTCACTCAAGTGGTCTTTTGACTTACATATTTAGTTCCCTCCCATTTTATCAACTTGAAAAGTAAATCGTATATACCTTTTGCAGGTGCTTTCTGTTACTGCAGTCAAGGATGTAAGAGTTAGTTGCAAAGGTTAGGGCCTAATTCCATAAGTGCATACCAGAGCTGCTAGTACAATTTCTCTCGGTATTTGGTTGGTAGTATATCTTTGCTGACAGATGGACACAACCTGGAGCTGGAACCAGCCTGCAAGCCAAAATTAGGTAAAATTTTGGTTACAAATATTCAATGGTTGTCAGTAGCTGCTTGGTTACAAATATTCAAGAGGTTCCTCTGCAGCTGCTTGATCAGTCTTACTGACATTATTTGTCAGCGGCATCTATAACGATTATTTGATGTTCCTTTCTGGCTGTGCTTGAATGCATTGATTCGAGAGTGTCCTGATTACCTGGGAGGAAAACGAGTACTTTTTATTGAAAGTATTGTTCATTATTTTGAATCTTATGATTTTCTATAGATATGGATAACTAACTTTGAATAAACCATAAAGGTGCATTTGATTGTTTTCACTGATCAAAGAGCTCGGAGAGGTGCCATTCATTGTATTTGGATCAAGATAGTTGCTGGTTGCATAATGTACCATATCTTCTTATATGAGGTTTTGTGGAATTTCCATGGTTCATCTATTTTCTTCCAAATTTCTAATCCGACAATGATATGCTTGGAAAAGAAATAGATAAATGTATTCGTTACTACTACTTGTAATAATGAATGTCAACATTTAGTTCAGTGCGGTAGATTATAGTGATGTGAGTAATGGCTTGTCAGTAACAATGGGGTAGCTAGAGGGGTGATATAGAAGGGAAGCTGATAATGATAGCATAGCATTGACGATCTTCACTTTTTTAAGTAGGAAAATTCTCATTTGCCCACATTTGTAATTTACCTTATAAGTTCTAAGATGAACAAAATCTTGGAGATGACATCGCGAGGGTTGTATCTTGCCGCGTTTATTTACAAGTTAAAATTAGCTTATAAATAAGTTAATTTACTATAAAAGTTCTATCAAGTTTCTCTAAATATTAACTTTAATTTGTGCATGTTTATAGAAAAAAAATTATTTTTATTTTTATTCTCTTGAGTGTTGATCAAATCCTATATCTAGAGTAGTACTATGGAAGTCATGCTTCGTAAGATTAAGTATTGATGCCTGCAAGCTAGGTTGAATATACGAAGGAAGTGAAAAGAGAAACATTTAAAGGAGGGAAGAAGAAACATTTATCATTTATCAGAAAAAAGAGAAAAATGGATGGGGATGTGAATGTCAACCATTAAATTGATGTTTGTGTCTTTCGGTTGAAGACTGATGTCTAGGTCTGACCAGCGGTTGGTTTTGACAGCTTCGGAGCCAAATTTCTGAAATCGATAAACCTAAGTTGCGTCCATCTTTGATCCATAGTTGACCAATCATTATATCGGGGTACTTGGGTGGAGGTTCTAGGATTGATCGATTTAGTAGGTAGATATTTCACTTCGCATAAAAGATTTATTAGTTGAGGTCAAATAGAGTGAAGTAGTGGGGTTGAGGGACAAAGTGGAACAGTGGAGGCGTGAAACATAATACCCAAAGACAAAGAAGAAGAAGCAACAGAGCAACGAAGAAAAGAGAAAAAGAAAATTAAGAAGAGAAAGAAAGACCTACTCGACAATAAAGAAGAAACGACAGAGCTGTAGAGATAATAAGAGAAAACGAAAATTGAGAAGAGAAAGAAAGACATACTAAACAGTGGAGCAGAAGCGATAAAGCGATGGAGAGAATAAGAGATAAAAAAAATTGAGAAGAGAAAGATGAAACAAGAAGAGAGGAGAAAAAGGTGCTTTCAAGGGAAAAGAAAGATCGAATAGTTGCGGTCAATTTTGGATATTGAAAATTTCACTTTTTTCTAACTTGAATCTGATTGCATTTAACCACATTTGTTACCTTTTTAAACCAGTCAAACCCGTAACTCGAATTCTAAACATCTAATTCTTCATATATTTTTTTTATGGATTCGGATGGCCCATAAATTTTGATTAGGCATATTGATGTGAAGTATATATTAATGATAAAAAAATGGGTAACTGGTTACAATTCATCAAAGGTTTTAGTTTGACTAATAAATAATTATTTGTGTTTTTAGATAAAGACCTTAGCTGATTGAGAATTACATTACAGTTACATGTGTTTACTAGTCAATTTTATAGACTTAAACTTGAGAATAATGTAATTGACATTTGCACTTATAAAGATCTTGGCTGATCTTGAATTACATTATAGTTACATGTGTGTACTAGTCAATTTTATAGAATTAAACTCGAGTATAATGTAATTACACGTGCAACTATCACTTACATTATACTCAAGTTTAATACTATAAAATTAGTACAAGCAATATTTTGAGAAATTAAAATTAATCATATTCTGTAAAATGTTTCCTTGTTTAAATTTTTAGAATTTAATTATTGAATATTTTAACATTTTTTAAAATCACACGTTTCAAATTTTAAAGAGAAATATTACAAATATGTTTAACACTATTTTTAACCGATGTTAATTAAAGTTGATTAAAAATTATAATTTTGTAAGTTTTACATCCCATTTAATAAACTTTTTTCATAATGTTGTAAAATTTAGAAATTTTTAACTAATAATGACTTTTATAAAATGATAATATTTTTTTTTGGATTAAATATGTTTAAACTTCCTCCAATTAAGCTAGTTTTCAGATTACTATTTATTAAAAAAAATATTTTAAATATCTGACTAATCTTTTTTAATTTAATACTTGACGTTAGTCTCCCTCCGTTAAGTGATAATGTGGCTGACGGATTGTCACGCCATCACCCAACAGTGTCTGTTATGTCATCTAAAGGGCTTTCACCCAATAGCCACGTCACCCAACGCTCTTGATGCAACTATTGATGAATTTTGAGTGTATTGATGTTGGGATCGGAAACGTGAGGCGAAGGTAGAGCGAGAGCGTGGGGGTGATACTCTGGCGACGTTGCGGTGGGCTCCAGAACGGGATCGTGGAACTTGACGTCAATGAAGGAAGGCATGATGGGAGGAGGAGCAACGACCTTGTCGAGGTCGAAGAGGTAATCGACGTTGGAAGGAAGAAGGGGAGGGGTTTTGATCATAGTTTTAAAAACCGGACCGGTCATCGAACCGGTTAAGGTACTGGGTCAGTGGGTCAAAGGTTGAACCGGTGGGTCACTAGTTGAACCGCATGACTCGGTTTTTATTTATTTTTATTAAAAAATATTCATATTAAATATATTTTATACTTATAAATTTTAATAAATTTCTATCTTATTTTAAATTTCAATTTTTCTATCTTATTTAAAATTATTTTTATTTTTATTTTGTAAAAAATATATAAAAAATTACATATTAAACTGTATATTAATACAAATTAAAAATATAAATAATATGTACATATATAATATGCTTGCAATTGATATCACAAAATAATATATGTAATATTTACATATATATTATATTATTAAATATATAATATAAAATTAATAATATACTATAAAAGTTATTTAAGTTGTATATTATATAAACAAATACATTAGAACAAGTAGTTATTGTTATATTTAATAAGAATCTTTGTTCTTCTATTAAAAGATTCAATTTTCATTATTATTTTTGTGGTTTATGGTCCCTTAAAAAATAAAAAAAATAAAAAAAATAAAAAAAAAGTGGTTGAACCGGTTTGACCCACCGGTTCACCGGTTGAACCGGAAAATTGACCGGTTCAATCCGGTTTGAAACGGGTCGACTGCATAACCGATCCAACTTAAGGTTCGGACCGGCTGGACCACCGGTTCCCGGTCCAACCGGTCCGACCGGCCGGTTCGGTCCGGTTTTTTAAACACTGGTTTTGATAGGGTCGCGATTGGAGGAGAAAAAAGAATTAGGGTTTGCAGAAAGTGCGAAGAGGAAGAGTCTCATTCTGATGGGTTTAGAGTGGGCGGTAGAGGCGATCGTACTCATGCATCATGTGTTTGAGGTCGTCGTCATTGGTGACGAAGATGAACGCGTTGAGGTCCTCGCCAGGGAGCTAGTACTTGAAGGTGAGGTCCCGCGCTAGCGTGTTGTAGAGCGTGACGAGCTTGGAGAGGAAGGTGGTGAACTTGATGGAGTGGTCGACACTGTTGGGTGGCAGCCTAAACCCTAAACGTGGCTGCCACATCATCACTTAATAGAGAGAGACTAACATCTCAAGTATTTAAAAAAAAATAATAAGTAGTAATCCAAAAATCAGCCTAATTGAAAATAGTTTAGATATATTTAAACCTATTATTTTATAAGCATAAAAGGCAAAATTGTGATTTTAATCTACTTATTCTTATTTTCTTCTCAAAATGGAAAGAAAGGAAAATTAATGTGGGATCCACATTATGTATTCTTTCTTCTCTAATATTCTTGTGTATCAATCAAGGAAAAAATTCTAAACAAATTTGTTTTCTTTCTTCCTCTTCTTCTAGGTTTCATGCATTTCGAGCAATGTGTTGATCTACATGATCATTGAAGTAACATTTGATAATTAAATTATTAAAATTTAATATAATTAAATATATTGAATAAAGTAATTATGTCATAAAAGATTTACTTTTATATTTTATAAAATGTTATTAAGTTATATAAATACAAAATTTGACAATTCTTTTTATAACTATAATACTGATATGGAATACCCATCACTAAAAGTAATGATTAATGTCCATTGAAAATTTTGAATATATACAAAATAAATGTGTATGAAGAAATTTAAATTAGTATTTTAAATTGTGCTTGTATAAAAATAATTATTTATTATATGATAAAACTTATAATAAATTATATATAAATAAATATTATATTTAAATATATAAATTATGTTTAAAATTTGTATAAATAAATATATTAAACTATATTTTAATGTAAGATAGATAATTTATATTGTGACACAAAATAATTTTTAATTATTGATTTATCTTAAAATATTAAAATTTAATTATAAATAAATATGATAAATAAAAATTAAATCAAATAATAAGTTAAAGAAATGTCTAAAAGTCTTTTTATTAAAGAAAAATGTTTTCGTTAAAAAATAGTCCCTACTAACATTTTCACATAATACAATAAGGTATTTTATAAGGTATTTTAAAAATGACATTATACATCTTAATATATTAAAAATAAAAAAATAAAAAATTATTAGTCACCATTCACTTAATTTTAATTTATTAAAAAAATTATTAATAAAATATGAAATATTAATTATATAAATAGTCATAATTAAAATTAAGAAGCATAAATTTAAAATTTTAAAAATAATTTTATATATTTTATAAAATTATGATTAAAAAAATATTGTGTAAATATTAACAACAAAATTATTCTAGATACACTACTTTAGAGGAAACAAATTACAAGATTTTTTTTATAATTAAGAAATGTGAATTTCTTGGAAGAAGAGATGGAAAAAAAATAGAAAATTGAAAAAGTAAAAAAGAGCAAAATATTTTGGAGGGAAAAATGAAAACATTTTAAAAAAATATCAATAAAATAAAACTTTATGACTAATTTTCATAGAAAAAAATGAAAAAAAAAATAGAAATAAAAACTATTTACGTTGTTAATAGAATTCAAACTTAAGTATTTATCAATAATTTCTCATATAAGTTAAATAATAATTGTATTGGATAACTTATAAAATATTTTATAAAATACATATAAGATGTTTTATAAATTTCATCTCTCATAAATACTTATAAAATAAAATAAATAAAAATAATTTTTTAAATAATATCTTATTTTTAGACTAACACTTAAATTAAAATTAGTCTATCCTCCTCTTCCTCTTCCTTAATAAATTATGATTTGAATTTGTTTAGAAACTAAAAGTCAAAATATTATTTTTGGATAAGTAAATAAATAGAGAAGCTATATATATATATATATATATATATATATTTTTTTTTTTTTTCTAGAATAGGGTTATACATGTTGTTCAACGCGAAAGCAACGAATGCAGTTTAGGGTGGACATGGAACACCCTCCCTCACTAGATTGAGTTTCGTTCCTTTTCTTCTCTCTCTCTGATGGCGTCGTCCCATTGCACTCGTCGTCTTATCTCTCTCTCTTCCTTGAAATCAGCCGTTAGACCAATGAATCATTCCCCTCTTCTCAACGCTTCTCAGCCACGCCGTCTATCCCATTCCCCACTCTTTATCAGGTAAACAAACCTACATTCTCTCCTCCATTTCTTTATACCCAATCATTTCACGCTTTTCAAAATCATCACATTAAATTCAATTACTACTAGATAACTGTTTGAATTTGTACCCACAATTATGTTAGGAGTGATTCTGAGAAACTAATACACTTTTTTTTTTTTAAATTACAAAGAATAAAATGTTTAATTTTAAATTTGAATGATAAAAATAAATGACTTAAATATGATTTTAATTTTTTAAATTTTAAGTAAATTTATTTTCTCTCTCAAATTTAAAATTGATCTTTTTAATTCTGTAATTTAAAAAATCTTGTTTTAGTCTTTGTATTCAGATTTTATAAGAAAATCTATCAAATTCTATCCAATAAAATTTACTTGTTCTTGTTATTACTGTTCTTGTCGGAAAAAATATCACATAAAACTCAGCTTAACATTCATAATTGTTTCAATTTATTATTTTCAGATATATTATTAGTAACTAGGAATTAAAATAAGAATTTTGAAAATTAGAGAACTAAAAATAATACTTTTAAATTTGTGAGAACAAAAATAAATTTACTCTAAATTTTAGAGACTAAAATAATATTTAAGCAAAAATAATTTTACTCTTTTTAAGAACTTATAACATATTTAAACATTTTTGTATTGTTATATAACCCTGCATATTACGTGGGAGGTGTTGTGCTGATGTGTGAAATTGTTGTGCTCAACAGAAATTGTGTGTACCAACTAGGAAGTGTGCAGTCACTGTTGCCTTTACATAGTGTAGTGGCCACTGCAAGAATGGTGTCTAGTCTCAGCATTAATTCAAGGAGTTGTGAAGCTCTTTCACAGGCTACCCTATGCTGCAACCACCCTGGACCCTGAGGTCTATGTTACTTTGCATAGTCAGTGATTGTCTCCTTTCTTGTCACCCTTGTTCCAATTGGCTCAAATGGCTCAGGGGAAGAAGGATAAACACAGCTCATGATATATGGAGCTTGTTGTGATTGGCAAAAAATAAAAATTAATGATGATGTTGAATTTCAGATGAGTTACAAAGTTTATGTCTTATGAGTTTAGCATCAATTCTTTTTCTTCCTATAGACCAGATGTAGCATTGTTTTTTTTATTTGGTTAGTTTTTGTATGGATCCCCTATTTTTCAATCTAATATATGTTCTAGTGAATCTTTTCCGGTGTCTAGGTGATTCAACCTACTGGGTGCCATTTTGCATAAGAGAGCACCTAGGTGGATGCATACCAGGAATTGAATTTGATAACAGAATTTTCTGAGACAGTAAACATTGGGATAGGGAGGTTTCAATCTCAGAAAATTGGCCTTGTTTTCACTAATATGCGACAAGTACATGGTTTTCTTGTTGACACTTTTGTAGTTCTGTAAGTCTACTATATTAACATTTGAGCATATTTGACAAGCTTCTGTTTTCACTACTACCAAGTGCACAGACACTATATAGGAGACGAACTTAAACAGAACTTTTAACAATTAAGGGCATGTTTGGTTTTGCATTTCACCACTGCAAACAACATTTCAATCCACTTGGAGACATCTCTATTTGAGTGCTTTGGAATGTGTGTTAACGGCTATTTAAACATCGTCTAAGTTATCATACAAAACCAGAATTATAGTAAACAGAGTTTCATTATTCGACTAAGTTATCATACAAAACCAAAGTTATAGTAAACACAGTTTCTTTATTTGAACTTTAAAAATGACATAATGTCTTATGATCTATAATCAATTTTGATTCCTTTTTATATTTTTCAAATAGATGCTTATCCAATACTCTCTAAAATTGTCTCATTTTGATGTTTGTTGGACTACCAAATACACTGATTGACTATTTGAGTGCTGGCTTGCCACCTTGCCAGACCTACTAAATACTGTGTCCTTCTGTCTGGTAGAATGCAGAAGGCCTCAAATAGTTCTTTCAGTTATTTTCATTTTACCAACTGTTATGAACATGAGATACATCATGGAGGATGATAAGGCTGCGGCCAGGTTATAAGCAAGTGATATGTCACGTGACTATTCCAGGTCTAAGTGTTTAACCAAAAGTTAATAGTTATAATATTCACATTTTGTTGCTAAATTGACATGATGTTTTACTTTCTGAATGAGCTTCCAAACATGTAGCAACGCATTTATAACCATTAGATGAAGGTGAACAGTTGAGGTTTTGAATGTGTTCTAAAGTTGATTGGCAGAGATAAAATGAGTCGTGTGATCTTTATCAAACTGTTTCGAATTACTGAATGCGTAATGCATTGAAAGGTAAATGCAGGAATCTAGTTCCAGTTCAGAGAATGTGATAGTAATGTTGTCCATCTAAATTTGGATTGCATTCCTGGCCCGTCAGTCAGGATTCAATCTCTTATTCTCCTATACCCAGGTTTGGATTCTTTCATGTGATATTTTTATCATGTGAAATCTCAGTTCTATATTTAAAATAAGAGGGGTTTAAATAACAAAAAGTAGAAGGTATGAAATTTTGATGTTGGAGATTTTTATACGTGAGAATTCAGGAAAAAATTCACATGAGAGGATCCATTTACCCTGTATTCATAGCTGAAATGCCACTAATTTTGGCAGAAACATCGTTGCAGGTACAACAATCTGCAACATATATCTGAACTATACGAGTGGAATAATTTTATTAGACTGTTAGCAACAAATTCTCGCATTCTTAGTGATACACTCTTCAAAATTTATTGATAACTGCATAAAAAAAAATAAGAGAGGATTATTAAATTTAGTGATCAGTACAAATCATTTTTTTTTATTTATAATAAATTTCAACTAACTAGAACGTGTGTGTTTAAACTTTAAAAGAGTTTGATAGAGAGAGTATTCTTAACATTTCTAATTTTATTGTGTGAAATGTGAGTAGACCACAGGGTATAAGAAATGAATAATAATTGTAGTTCAGGGTTAGAATGAGATGGAATTCACAACAATTTCCTTTCATTTTTCTTGGATACCAATTACCAAATGAAGATGAAATTGACTCCTGGTCCTCACCCATCAGCAAAAAAATAAAAAAATTAAAGAAAAACAAGCGTGAGATACAAAGTGAACTTAGTGGTTTGTGGTCACATGTCCTCTTTTAGAAGACAACACATTTAAAACACATCCATCAAACAAGTAAAAACTACAGAAAGAAAACAAAGTATAAGGTCGATAGTCATTAAATATTTGTATCTACGAGAGTAATATGTTAGTATCCAAATGAATTGCAAGCCCCAATATTTCCTAAAGGCATGGGAATTGCAAGCCCACATGATATTAAGGACATCTCCAACATTTGAGTTGCTTCATGCATTGAAAAGTGTAAAAAGTGTTTCCTAGTGTGTTATATCAGCATTAAATAACTCAAACACAAATTTACTCTAATGGTAAGAAACTTTAAGAAATTCAGCTTTTATAATTTTTTTTATAATCATTTATAAACCAAATTTAATTTTTGTATTAAAAAGGACAATTGCACTACAATGAAAGAAAATAAATTACGAGAAAAAATGCATAATAAGTAGATATTAAAAATAAAATAAAGCAATAGTAAATACATAAATATTATACGAAATTAATTTTCATCATTATTATTTTCAAAACGTTACCAAATATGTTTAATAAAATCTGCTTGAAGTTGGCGGTGTGTTCGTTTGTCATGAACGTCTGCTTTCCTTTGAGGGTATGTTGATCTAAAATTGGGATGCACCTACAGATATTTCAGATCTTGACATGTCATCATCTACACCACCATAATCAATATAATTTTGAGAGCAAAACAAGCAAAATAAAATCAAGAAGGAGAATAAAAGAAGTAGAAGAGAGTTAAAGAGGTGCAAATTTTTGAATTGAGTTGATGAATAATATAGTGATATTTTTCTTTTAAAAAAAACTAAATTAATTCGACGCCTATTTCAAACGGTTTTTTTTAATTCGAAGCACAACGACTCTTTGTTTTTTTTTTTCAACCATCAGTCTCTTCCTCTCACTCTATTTTTCTCCATCTCATTCTTTTCCTCTCTCATTTTTCCTTTTTCCTCCCCTCACTCTCCATCTCCCCGCCACCCACTTCTCTGCGCTTCCTTATGACGTGTTGGCCAAAATCATCGTCTCCTTTGATGATCCCAACCTCCGCGCGACGTCGCTCGTGTGCCATGCCTGGTGGGAGGCGCTGCAGCCACTGCGGGAGGCCATGGTGCTACTCCGGTAAGGCTCTCGACGCCTTCAATAAAGCCGCTGCGCGCAGCTCTGCCCTCGCTGTCAAACCCTGTGTCTCCATCGTCAACCTCGCCCTCGCCGTCAAACCCCACGTCTTCGCCGTCAAACCCCGTGCCTCCATCGTCAACCCCCGCCTCACCCCTGCTCCGCTGAACTCTTCCCCCACCAAAATCTAATAAGCAACGGTTGCTTACAGAAAGAACTCTCTCTTTTTCAAGCAACTCATATTGTCACGTAGGAGTGCTCTAATAGGAAAAAAATGTGCCTTAAAACAAAACACAGGACAAGCAACTCCCATTGGAGTTACTCTAATATGCTTCCAAGTGAGGAAAAACTAATAATTATAAGTCTCTTAAGTAATTTTCCTTTAATATAATTTCAAAGGAATCACATAGTGTGAAAACTTCGGTTCAGTAATTACTAAGAAATTCTTAATTCAATCAAGGAATCACATGTTGATAATTAATTAGTTGTTTTCACGGCTGATCAATAGCAAATTTCACACCAACAAAGAAATGTTGTAATTTTTTCCACTAAATAAAAAAAAACTGTCATTGTTTATAATTTTTCTTTATTGTTTGTAGTTTTTTTTTTTTTTTTTTTTTT